TCGCGCAGCCGCTGCAGCCAAGTCCGCAAGAGCATCGCTCATGCCCGACAAAAACCATAGTCCGCCCACTTAATAAAAGTTCCATTCTAGACACTCCGTAGGCAAGTCGAACGCGGCGTGCTTCCAACCGCGCAAATCCTTGGTGCGTACTCCGCAAGAGCATCGCTCATGCCCGGCAAATACCATACTCCGCCCACTTAATAGATATTCCATTGTCAAAAACCAAGTGCAGAGCAGGGTTTCGATCGTTTGCTCCCGGCCTCAGCCATGGCTTCGTTTTCGTGGGCTTGTGGAGCCAAAGGTTCGATTGAACCATCTGCCAGCACATGACTCTGTCACAGTCGCATTGCAAATACTGTGCCACATCCAGCACATCCTTCTCGATGCCCTCTCACGATTTCGACGTGGGTATGTGGGTATGTCATTTCAAGTCTCTCATGCCTTAACAAGCGGTGGCAACAACCGTCTAATCACCAACCCCCTCCATCGCACCACCGTCGAGAGCCTAGACGCTGTGCGCGTCCAGTCGCACAATCCTTGGCGCGTTTGCGCCTTCGCTCTAGCCTCCGCCAGAGCATCGCTCACGCGGCCAACTTCATGACAACAACCAGGCCGTAGCAGTCAAAAAGGACCGGTCAGCGAGCGCTGGACGCGCGGTGTGTCTGTGAGTTCGTTCTCGCCGGATGCGCGGTGCGTGCAGACAGCAGTGTCTGCGAGTTCGTTCTCGCCAGGTGCACATCGTCTACATCTTCCGTCGGTGGGGGACCGAACAACCCCTCCCTGTGCAAGACGGGGACCGGGACTTCGGGCGTCCCGGTAGCATCCTTCTCGCGAAGGAGGCTGACCGCCCGGGCGTATACCGAGTATACGCCGAAGTCGGGAGAGCCGTCTTGCACATTTCCTGCCATCTTTCTCTCTCTCTCTCTCTCTCCTCTCTCCCTCCCCTCTCTCTGTCTGTCTCTGTCTCTGTCTCTGTCTCTGTCTCGGTCTCTGTCGGTCTCTGTCGGTCTCTGTCTGTCTCTATCTCTGTCTCTGTCTGTCTCTGTCTCTGTCTTCTCTGTCTCTCTGTCTCTGTCTCGGTCTTCTCTGTATCTGTCTTCGCTGTCTCTGTCTCTCTCTCTCTCTCTCTCTTTGTCTCTTTCTCTCTCTCTCTCTCTTTTTGAGACTGTGTGGGGCCTATGTGGCCCGTCTTGGGGCTATGTTTCCCATATCTGAGAGCTAGGGAGAGTCATCTTCGCTGTCTCTCTCTCTCTTTTTTTTTGAGACTGTGTGGGACCTATGTTGCCACATCTTGAGGCAATCTTGGCTCATCTTGGGGCTATGTTTCCCATATCTGAGAGCTAGGTAGGGTCATCTTGCGGCTATGTGCGACTGTGTGGGGCCTATGTTGCCCCATCTTGGGGCTATGTGGGCCATATCTGAGACCTATGTTGAGTCCTCTTGAGGGCCTCTGTCAGATCATCTTGGAGCACATGTTCCGCCTTTGCTCTTAGCACGTGCCCGACATCCACGAAATGTCGATTAAGCCTGTCCGCGCGGCACGCATAACTGACACCACGGGCACCCTGTCGTGGACGCCGAAGGCCACGAAACACTGTAAAAAACGATGTTTTTGAACCTTTCTCGAACATCCAGCGCAAGATACATATAAATCTGTCGGGCGGATTTGGTCGGGGGTCGGGCGGGGGTATCCCCGCGGTCGAACAAAAGGGTCGGCGGCAGGGGCGGCGAGCGTATATAACCTTCGGTTACCAACCGAAGGCCTCCGGCAAGGGAACGTGCGCGTGGCCGGCGCCCGGATTGTAAGGGCTCCGCCCGGGTGCCGCCGACCCCTTTTCATCTCGAGGGTTTGGCGGTTGAACCTTGACAACTTCCTGGGATTCAACAGCGAGACTTGGATGGGCTTCACACCAATGCTGGCATTCAACCAGCTGCCGAGAAGAGGGCAAGGCTGCGGTGAGGCTCTGGGGAGCGTTTGAAGCCGAGCCAAAATGCCTAACGTTGCCTTCGGAAGCCCATAAGAAGAGAGGAGGCAGGCTCCGGACAGGCCACAGAGAGGCCGCAAGAGGCCTGCCGGCTGCCGAGAGGCTTTTGAAGCCGGTCCAAAATGCCTAACGTTGTCTTCGGAAGCCCATAAGAAGAGAGGAGGCAGGCTTCGGACAGGCCACAGAGAGGCCGCAAGAGGCCTGCCGGCTGCCGAGAGGCTTTTGAAGCCGGTCCAAAATGCCTAACGTCGCTTTCGGAAGCCCATAAGAAGAGAAGAGGCAGGCCTGCCAGCTGCCGAGAAGAGGGCAAGGCTGCGGTGAGGCTCTGGGGAGCGTTTG